CATGTGATTCTGGAGATGTTGCCTACATTTATTTGATGTCCTGCGTATCTGAAACCATAAGATGAGTTGTAATGTTGAATAATTTTACATTTTATAGTGTACACAGTGCTTTCACTTAGTCATTCACTTAGTCTTTGCAAGAGTTTCATGCAGAAGATGCTGTAATGTTACTGTTTTCAGATGAGGAACCCCAGACTCACAGCTACAATGACTCGCTCTAGAATAATGGGCCGGTTCGATGGTGCCTTACATTTGTGAGGCTCTTTCAAGCACTCTTCTCTATGATCTTATTCATTTACTACTAATACTGTGCATCTTTTGAAAACATCAGCCGTCCATATTGTTATTTTAACCTACTCTATGATTCAGATTCTCAAAACCGTCTTAATCTTTATAAGTCAGTCCCAGCTTGCAATGCCATGGGAAAACAGGCCCAGACAAGCGCTGAAGCCACCATTCCCAGGACTCAGTGACCCACCCACCTTCACTTTGGTGGAGAAGGAGTAGAGTCCTGGAAAATCCAGGCATGGAAGACTGGTGCCTCTAAGAGTCAGAGGCCGTCCCGAGTGGGCATGGATGCAAGGAGGACAGCCTTCCAGTGCTATTCTTCAAAGCAGGGAACATCCCAAGGAGGGGCCTTAGAGAGTCTATTTTTGGGGCCCCATCACTTCACAAGTATGTATCCAACTGGTGTGTCCTTTCCTGTCTCTTCTTCTGGTAGCCAAGACCTTGTACAAGTTGAGTATCCTTTATCCAAAATGCTTGGGACCAGAAGTGTTTCAGATTTCAGATTTTTTTCAGATTTTGGAATATTTGCATTATATTTACTGGTTAAGCATCCCAAATCCAAAAATCCAAAATCCTTTGCATGCACTTCCTTTGTGTGGCATATTGGTGCTCAAAAAATTTGAGATTTTGGAGCATCTCAGATTTCAGGTTTTGGGATTTGGAATACTTGACCTGTACTCTCTGTCCTCTCTCTACCCCTACCTTATTCTCCCCGCAAAAAGGAATTTAGGTGTTGGAACCATCACGTGCACCACTGGAGCTACATCACGTCCCAGGAGGACTTCACTTTAGAAATGACCTCTGAAGATGCCAAGGAAGTCTGTGTGTGTGTGTGTGTGTGTGTGTGTGTGTGTGTGTGTGTTTAAAGCTTAAACTTTACAATATAAACGATATACTAGTTTTAAATAATGAACTCTACAAATAATATTGTGATAAACTCTACAAATAGTAATGCTCTACAAATTACTGCTTGTACTGTTTTATGCCTGAAATACCTATTATCATCTTCCTTTATGGATTCTATTTCTAATATTTTAGTATTTTTGCAACCGTGTTTTTTGCTTCTCTCCTTCAAATCATTCTCCTTCTCCCCTTTTATTATTGGAAAGACCTTTCCTGTGCCCTGAACTTACATAAGCAGCTTCCTTACCTGTGGAAACTGCCAAGAATTAGCATCATTTTAAGAGACTCGAGTTAAGGTCCTCTGAGTTAAAGCTCAGAGCCCGCACTGGATTGACCCAGCCCTATGATACAAGCTCCCACACCACAGGGAAAAGTGGCAAGTAGCTGGCATCCAATGAGACAGACATGGCAGCTACATTAGGCATGTAGCCATGAAATTCCTGAATAGAATGTAGAAACCAGAGTTGCCAGCTTTCCAGAGCACAGCCCCAACCAGGGTGCTCTGCCACCCGTTTCACTGTGAAACCACTGCTTTGCCCACAGGAGCTCTGAGACTCAGCTCATCCTCAGATGTGACTTCCTCTGCGGAGCATCCTCTGCTCTTAGCCAGAGGAGGTGTTTCTTTGCATTCACTCTCTCAGCCACGTTTCCTTTTCCCTTTTTATTTTCCAAACACCAAATTTTGAAAGGGACCGTTTTTTCTTCTTCACTTTGGCTTCCAGAAGCTCAGGTACACACTGATGCGCCGTCTCTGACGGCTGGACTAGGCAGCGCGTAACTCCTGCCCTTCTTCCCTGTCTACCATCATCTTACTGATCTATTTTTATTCTTCTGTTCCCCCCACTGCCACTATGTGTTTGCATTCTCTAATAGTGTATAATAACTTATCTGGTTTTTTTTTACTGAATGAAATAAAATAATAAAAGATAATCTCTATTAGTTAACTAAGCCATCTCACTAGTACTATGGTACATGGCAATTTATTTTGTATTCACTTAGGAGCTGCTTGAAAAGATTGCAGAGTCTGTGTCTTGACGAATATGGGTGAGGGACCTTTCCAAGTGGAACTCTGGGTCCAGTTAAAAATAACTGTGGTCTCTACTTGGTGGCCTTCTGTGTGAGGATGTACCAAGTCACTTTGCAGACTTCCCTAGATCAGAAGATACTCCCATTATTCTTACTGACCTTGGAGAAGGCATCTAAGTTTTATGCCATGAAGAAGATGAGATTAAATATCTCTGTACTAATTCAGGGAGCCTGTATTGGGTTTGAAACACATTTTCTAGGTTCCATAGGACTGGATTTGAACTCTAATACTATTACACATAATGTCCCATAGTCATTGTTGCAGACGTTCCTGTTTGCGAAGTGACTTATCTAGCATCCTGGAAGTTCCAAGTAATGGACCTTGGTTGATGTTAGAATGATGTTCCAAAATACTTGACCACATCAGCCAACCTACACAGATAACCTTCTGAAGAGATCGAATTCTACAGCTAGTATTTGGATATATTTCCATGTACGTTTGTTTTAGTCTGTTATGAATTTCAAAGGCTGAGCATATTTTTCACCCAGGTACTCTGTCAGTAAAATCACACACAAGACAGAATTTTAGGAGGAGGCTGAATCCATGCAGGTCTCTCGTGACACATTCATAGCACAAAACTGTGGAAATTAAGAATATTTAACTTCCATTAAGGCACTTTGTATGAAAGTCAGGGACACTATTAAACAGTAAAATCATCAGCCTACAAGAAGTGCCTCCAGGTCTAAGCTGGACTGGTTCATTCAGCTGGAAACAGATTCTTTCCTAGAGACCCAGGAGGCTCTTTGGGTGCTGCCCAGTGGCAGGGACGGACTATACCATGTCCAAGGTTTAGTTTGGCAGAACATACCTCACACAGGGCCTTTCTCAGAAATAGCGTATATCTTAAAAGGAAATGTACATAAAGGCAGGGGAGAAAAGGAAAAACGACAAAAGGGACTGAGAAGATTCTTTTGGAAGAGAAAAATACTGCATTTGTCTCCCATTTGTGTATGTATGTATGTGTGTGTGCACGTGTGTGCATGTCTAAAAATATTCATACACCTCAAGGTGGGATGTCTAAGAAGTATCTAGTCCAATCTTCTGCCCAACGCATAACTCATTTTTATAACATTGTGAAGGGCTGATAGAGTATATTTCTAGTTCGACATCACCAGTGAGAGAAAGCTCACTATGTCACAAGGAAAACCACTCAATATTCAGACAACTCCAGTGGTTAGAAAATTTTTCCTTGTTATTTCTCCATGGGTCTTAGTTATCTTTCCTAGAGCCACATACAGCCTATCTAATCCACCTTCCAAAAGCTAATCCCAATTGAATATTGAAGGCTGCTAGGGTAATCACGATGATGGTGGTGGTGGTGGTAACTGTCACCACCATCGTCAATAGCGAGAGCACGTAACATTTCTTGACACTTCCTGTAAGTGCTGCGCTAAGCATTTTACATTTTTATCTCATTAATTCTCACAACTTGACTAAACAGATACTTTTTAGAAGTTCATTTCACAGGTGAGGAAACCAAGGCTTACAGAGATGAAGTTGCTTTTTCTGGATACCAGGTAGCAGGAAGCACCTGGGATTAGACTCAGGCATTCTGACCTGGGATAGACTCTTTAAGCAGTCTCTTCTCTGGTTTTCCGTTAGTGAGTTATACCGTGGAGCACATCTGCAAATGCAGGAGTATCTTCTCAGGGGAGGATTCCGGAGACCAGATTCCACCACTTGCTGCATATTCTCCTGCACAGAGTCATCCTTGTTCTCTCACCATATCTTTCTTAGAGTGGCATATTTTAAAAAAATTCATGGTATCAACATAAAAACTGTTGGAAGCTCTATGCATAGAAATTGCAGCCCTGCAGTTCCCTTACACTGGTCCAGTGATGTTTCAAGTTGCTCCTTCACAAGCCGAGGTACCTGAGTCACGAGAGTTCACGTATAGCGGAGTTAGAGGAATGCCTTCCCAAAGCACAGTGCCTGACAACTAATTGCTGTTCCGTAAATACGTGTTGAATGAATTAGTAGATTAGTGACTTCTCTAAGAAGGTAGTTAGATGTCTAGAGCTGAGAGCAGTAGAAATTTTGCTGTTTACTTTAAAAATATCTACATTTTAGCTATTCTTTTTTTTTTTTTTTAGGTTGAGACTGCAGATATGTAACTAATTTGTATTTCTCTTTGATTTGACTCACCTTTGCAAATGTCTTAGGCTGCAGTTTCATTGAGAGTAACTTTTTGGATGTTATGCCTTTTCATTTTTATGTTTCGTGAAGTACCCACTCTCATGACCATTGAAATGCTAAATTACGAGAGTCTCTAACTTGCCTGTGAGCTAGACCTCTGAAAAAGTGCTCATCCTATACATGTTAAACGGAGTCCCTACAACTGTAAATCTGTGTTATCTAAACTCTCTTCCTCATGAGCTTTAAGAAACTTACCTTTCTGGACAGATATTTTAATAATGCCCACTGTGTTGTACTTGTTTATTGACATGGTATGTTCCACAGCAATGGAAAGCTTATGACACTTTTATCGTTGTCATACATTGTATGGTTTAGGCCAGATGTCCCTAGGTTTTAGAGACCTAGTGCCTCAGAGATAGTTATCTGCCACAAATTCAGAAATGAGTTGCTGTGCTATTACTCGTCCTCTGGGATGGAGATGCTTTCTTTCTGGACTTCAGAGGTAGCTATAGGGATTCCACTGGTGTTCATGTAACTATGTTTTTTATATTGCTAATGACATTTGGTTTTTTGTTGTCTTTGCTAGGTTTGCTGGGATGGGAAACCTGCTCAAAGTCCTTACCAGAGAAATTGAAAACTATCCACATTTTTTCCTGGATTTTGAAAGTAAGTGCCAAAAATTATAATATAATAATGGAAACTTTTCACATTCTTTATAGCTTATTGCTAAGAAAGTTATAAAAATTTCATATGATACTTAAACCATATCCAAATGTCATTGTGCATTTCTTTCTGCGATTATTTCTAATGTCATCTTTCTTCTTTATTTTTCTGTTGTTTTAGAAACATAATGGAAAGTCTTTTTTAATGTATCTGCAATTTTCTTTGATTTTAGAAGTGATCAGCTTTTGTAGGCCTAGCATAAATCATCATTGTGTATTTTTCCTAAAAATTTTTATGAATTATTGTTTCATATTCCAAATGAAAGTAGTAAGCACAGTAATTTATACAGATTAATATAAAACAAATATCACTATATATGAAAGAGAAAGTGAGTAATACCACAAATAAGGCTTACAGATTTTTTTTTAGTCATTTCCATTTGTTCTTTATGTATTATTTGATTGTATGAATCATTTCAGGATTTTGAGATGTACCCCTTTTATCCAAAAGGTTATGTTTCTTTTATCAAAAATTTTAATATTTTTTTTTCAGGTAAAATGGCTTAAAAATCATGATTGAATAAGCCCAGAAATTGTTTCTTATTTATTGATTAAATGCATTTACAAATAAATGGCACATTCATATTTAATCAGACTAAGGTTATGTTTCCACTTTCACTTTTGTATTCCCCCTTTTTTATTATTAATGTAATTCCTCAATAGCAAGCACAGTTAAGTATTCACCATTGGTAGCACCCCTTAATCTGCTTTCAACTTTAATTTTCCAAGTATTTTACCTATATTAAAAATAGTAGTTAGAACTTCCTTACATATAGATTAAACCTTCTAACAGAGATTTGCTAAGTGAATGCTAGAAGACCCTTCCAAGATGCACTAGACTGAAAGGTGAAAGTTCCCTAGGTGTATCTTTTTAGTGTCTTAGGTGTGTTTAAAATAGCTACTTGAAAAGTAAAGGTGTCCCCAAGTCTCACATGTTCTGAAAAAAATTTAATCTAGATTATGTTCAATGAAAGATGCCTCACTTCAGATTTAACTCAGTGGGCTGTGTTGTTGTTGTTGTTGTTGCTGCTGCTGCTGTTGTTTGGCTTGGGTTGCTTTGGTTTGGTAAGGGGTGCAGCGATAGCCAGATCGATTTGATATTTCAAAAGAAATGGGCTTTTTTACTGGCTTAACTTTTGTTACTCCTCTAAAATATATATATGTGTGTGTGTGTGTATGTGTGTATATGTATGTGTGTGTATATATAGTTGTTTTTAAAAGAATGATTTATTAATAACTTTAAAAATTTTTTTCCAAAATAAATTGTCTATAGTGGTAAACCCTTATTTTACTATTTACATTTTTCATTGCTCCCTTCCATTTCTTGTCACATGCATTTTACATTGCTGCATTCAGCATGTACAAAGGCCAAAATAGTGGTGAAATACCCCACTTGTTCCCGAGGGTTGGGGTATGTAAACACCTAAGAGAATTGCATGCTTGTTCTTTCTGGGAGCCCCGAATCCCACTCGTACCTGTGCGTGCTCACACGTGCCTCCCAGAGTTCAGGGACTCCACTTGCCTATCAAACAAGCTGTTCTTGGATACTCGGCTTTCCATGCTTCCGCAAAGATCAATGTTGGGTTCTTGGTCAGGTCTAATCTTAAAAAACCTTTAAAGTGATAAAAGTAAAATTTGCAGGGATTTAAAACAGTAGAAAACAGTTTTCAACTAGTGTTCTCCTGGGTTCCAGATTTCGGAGGCTATGCCTCGGGATCTGTCCCCCACCACTACAGCAGTCAGGGATGGGTGGAGAGGGGCCTCTGTTCCTTTCCCCTCGTGGCCAGAGCACTCTGGCCTGCTCAGTCTTGTACTTTGGACATTTTCTTAACATTTTATTTAAAGAAAGACCGTGGTGGTTAAATAAAGCACTTAGAAATCTTGAATTGTGATGATAGTTTATGGTATAAAAACATCATTTGTTCATATATTACAATTTCTTCTAGAGAAAGAAGTGAGAACTGAATTCCCTTGTCCGATAGCGTATTACTAAGGCTAGAGCTATAATATTTAAGGAAAATATAAAACTGTAAATTTATAAAAACTGCCAGGTATGGTGGCTCATGCCTGTAATCCTAGCTCTCTGGGAGGCCGAGGTGGGCGGATTGTTTGAGCTCAGGAGTTTGAGACCAGCCTGAGCAAGAGCGAGACCCCGTCTCTACTAAAAATAGAAAGAAATTAATTGGACAACTAAAAATATATAGAAAAAATTAGCCGGGCATGGTGGCACATGCCTGTAGTCCCAGCTACTCGGGAGGCTGAGACAGGAGGATCACTTGAGCCCAGGAGGTTGAGGTTGCAGTGAGCTATGATCACACCGCCACTGCACTCCTGCCTGGGAGACAGAGTGAGGCTCTATCTCTAAATAAATAAATAAGTATGTATAAAATCCTGTTTATTTCCTCATCAATTCTAAGCAGAAGATCACCTTTATTCTGCTGAGACTCTGAAAAGATAAATAATTGGGTTGACGTCACACAGGAGTGACCAGGGAACACAGCTGTCTTTGGCCATCCTCGTCCTGCTGCTTTGCTTCCCTGAAGAGCCCATCACCAGCAGCTTCCTAGAGGGGCCACAGCTATCATTCTATCCCTGACTAGAGAGGGACGTCTTAGTTGTCCACAAACTAAGTCATCTCATAGAAAAAAATTGATTTTGATTTCTTGATCCTGAAAACCTTGTTTCCTAAAGTGGTTTTCAAGAAAGATTGCTGATGGGCTGGAAGGATCGGGAAGGTGGGCTGCTGTCATGACCTCCCCTTGCACCTGCAGATTTCAGCTCCATCCAGCAAGGCTATGTTGAGTAGGATCGCAACCGTACACGTAAGCCATGCGACATCAGGGGTGCAGAGCTAAATGAGAGCAGTCGCGGCGTTATGAAGACCCAGGCTAGCGTGGAGGACAATACAGGCACACAGTCCAAGACGAAATAAAACAAATGACTCCAGGGAGGCACGGTGTGGCACGGGAGTGGAGAAGGAAAAAGTGTACATCTAGTTTCTTGAAACAGAAGACTATAGAAAGAATCAGAGAAGTCTTCTTGCAAGAGGTGGCATTTGGAATGGGCTTTAAAGAATGAGTAGTTTTTCTAAAGCACAGATGGGGAGAGTTTTCCAACAGATGGAAACAGTGTAATTAAAAGCAGAGACTGGAATAGGAAGGGCATGGCTGAAGAGCAGCAAGAGGTTTGATTTAGACAGAGCACCAAATGCTTGCTGGAGAGAAGTGGGGACCGACATGGAAGCCTGGCTTGGGTCAGGCAGTGGCAGGCACGGCTGCCCGGCTGAGAAGCTGGGGGCTGGATGTCCACAGTCAGGGCTAATCTCCAAAGACAGTAGCCAACATCCCTGAGGGAAAACTGGGGGGCTGAGCAGACAGGGCTGAGCAGATGGCAACGAAAGGCGTGCTTAGCTTAAAGGAGACTTGAGCAGCCGGAGGATCCAGGAGAGACGCCACCTCTCTGGAGGTGGACAGGAAGAAGGACGCCTTACTAGACTGAAATTCCTGACTTCAGGGCGTGAGCTCCACTCACTTTGGCGATGCAGCATTTGGCCCATGTAGAGCACGGAGCGTGGAGCACCCAATGAACTTCAGTAGCAGATGCTGGTCACGTGAGGGCACAGAGTGGAGCAGGCTAAATCCAGGCAGTCAGGAGAGCACAGGCGCTCAAGGAGGAGGGAGTGTAAATGGATTCAGTGCTGCAGAGCACTCAGGAAGGGTAAGGCTTGAAAAGGGGCAGTGAGCTGCCTAATCCCTGGTGGCCATGGGAGGGCAACTCAGGATTTGTTGCTTTGTGTGCAGAGGCTGGAGTGTGAAGAGTTAAGGAGGAAGGGGTAGAGGGAGGAAAGAAAGCTGAACAGCGTGTAGTAACAGGGTAAATGAATCTGGCACCTCTACTTTGAGTGTTGAATATTCTCTTTGAAGTCGGTGATGGGATATAATTGAACTGGGTCAAATAGATATAATTAAGCCAGGTCAAAACATAGTACAAAAGTAGACACATCTGTCCTTAGGTTTTGCCGTTGCATAGATCTGATTGAAATTCTTGTCTGGCCTTCGCAGCAAGTTCTACACTGTATGCTCACGTTTCTCCACAACCACTTAACACCTTTTTTTCATTGTTTTTCTTCCCTCTGCTTTTTTCTTTTTCTCACTCTACCGCCTCACCATGTCTCCATTTCCTCTTTGAAGCCTGGGAGACAGGGGAGGAATGAAAGATGAACGCAGGTCTCTGACCTTTCATGAGTACTGGTTTCAGGGACAGTATACAGGAAGAAGTCTGCCTGAAGCTCTGTCCAGGATCGCGTGGCTAGATCCGCCCTATGGCACCCAACGTGGGCAGCAGGCATTCGTCTTCCAGTGAAGTATAATATTTCTCACGATTCCCAGGTGGAGATGATCATTCAAAACATCTAGTGAAACTTCTTTTTATATAGCTACCTGAGCCTCACCCAAAAATTCTGATTCAGGGATTTACTCCCAAGAATCTGCTTTTCCCCACATTTCCAGGTGCTTCCAATGATCAGCCAGCTTGGGAACCTTTAACTAACCCATCCAAGTGAGGCACTAGCCCACCCCAGTGTTTAGAACAGGGGCCTAAGCCATGCAGTTTTTTTGAGTTCCAAGACCCAAAGCTTGAAGTGGAAGGTCTCCAAGATAGGTAGAAATTCACGTAGAGTAAAACCTATGCAAGAGTACCTTGTTTCAAAGAAATTCTTTTTTTCAATCAGCAAACCTATTAATGACCTATTAATGATTCACTTGGGATCTGAGTAGACATTCCTCCCAAGACGATAAACAAATGGCCAATAAGCACGTGAAAAGATGGTCACTACCATTAGTCATGAGGGAAATACAGATAAAACCACAATGACATAGCATTTTACACTCACTAGGATTGTTCTAATCAAAAAAGGAGATAATAAAAAGTGTTGGTGAGGATGTG